TCGGGTAGGATTCCCCTATTCAGCCTTGCCCAGGGCATCCTGGCTTACCTGGGATGCCTTTTCCAGGGAGCCGCGGCATTCCCAGCTCCTCCAGGGCACAGCAGCTCATCCCGGGTACCACCATCCTCATCCTCCATCCACCGGCTTTCATGGAATCATCACGGAGTGGTGGTTTGGGTTGGAAGGGACCTTAAAGATCATCTCTTCCCACCCCCCTGCCGTGGGCAGGGACACCTTTCCCACTCTGGACCGTGGGCTCAGGTGGCACAAGCTCCAGGCTGATCCGGGGGCACCAGGAGAGCAATTCCACCTTTTCCCGGGGGGAGGTGACGGTCCAGAGGTGCTGGAGGGCCATTTCATGGAAGGACTTCAGCAGGGCTGGATGAGGCCTCGCTCTGCAGAGGCAGAGTGGGAGATGAAGGTGATAGTGCATCCCCAGCATCCCGGTGCTGGAATACCACCAGGAATCGCTGCATTGGGTGCCATGGGAGTTGGGATTTTGCTTTGTCATGGAAAAGTTAAAAATAGTTGCACTTCATTCAGCACTTTTCACCTTGATTTTTGTGCTGCTTCTCGGCCAGGAAGAGTCTTCCCACAGGGATGGGTCAGTGACAGTAACAGCTTTTTGCCTTCCTGTCCTGCCTCCTCCTCCTCCTCCCCAACTTTGTTATTCCATAAATCCCAAAGCCTGGTGGTGCTCCAGCAGCCAGGGCAGTGCAGGATCTGTGTGGGGACGCAGCCCTGGGGTGCTCAAAGCCCCGTCCCCCGGGCTCAGGCTGACCCTGTCCCTCTGTCCCTCCAGGCACGGGGCGGTGAAGGGCGAGGACACCTTCAAGACGTCCCCGTTCCACCTGGACCTGTGGTTCTACTTCACTCTGCAGAACTGGGTGCTGGACTTTGGGCGTCCCATCGCCATGGTGAGCCAGGGGGGCACAGGCCTCCACTTATTTTGGGGGGTGGAGTGGTCCCCATGGGCTGTTTCCTGCTCCAGAGGGAGCTGTTCTGGGATGTACTGGTGTAACTGGGATCAAGGGTGTTGCTCCAGTCCTGGGGAAGGTCTCCTGTGAAACTTGTTCTGTGCCATCTCTCCCTCAATGTTTTCACAACAAAAGGGACCTGGGGAGGTTGTTCCATGTTATCTATCCCACAACTTAATGTTTTCACAACAGGAGGCACTGGGGAGGTTCCTGCTGCTCTTCCCATACCTTGCCTGTATCTCTGGAGCTTGGAGCTCCTGCTCCCCAGCTGGAGCAGGACAGAAGTGGCCATTCCCCTCAAATGGAATTTTTTTATAGCTGCCACCTGGACATGGCAGAGGGTTAAGGGAGATCCACTGCTGCAGGATTCCCAGATTCCTTCCTTGGCCCCACAACTTCAGGCAGTGATAGTGAACCCTGAGCTGTGCACTGAGCACTCACTTCCAGCTGGGCTTTTTGGGATGTTCACTCCAAGAAGAGCTGCCCAGCCTGGCTGCTGACAGCTGCCTGAATCCAAACTGACCATCAGAAACCAGCAGCATTCCCAAGATTTTCTCTCTCCCTGTCTTTCCCCCGGTGATGGGGCTGTGACCACGAGCTGGGCTGTGAGGAGATGCTGATGTGCTTCTTTTCCCCCCTGTCCTCAGATAATCCTTCCCCTGGAGTGGTTCCCTCTGAACAAACCGAGTGCTGGAGATTATTTCCACATGGCTTACAACGTTATCACACCATTTCTTCTGCTAAAGGTAACCCTGGGGGGGGGGCAGGTGTGAAACTTTCCTTGCCATTGTAAAAACAGGGCCAAAAAAACGCAGTTTTGTAAAGGTTGAGATTTTTTAGGGTGGTTGGTTATTCCCAGATTCCCAAGCCTGCTGTAGGTTAAAGTTTGCCACTCCAGGAAGAATTTGTGATGGCACTTTTTAAAGTGCAAAGCAGCGACCACCTCAGTACACCTCAAATTCCTGCACAGACAAAGCAAATCCCCCAGGAATTCTGGTTCCAGGAGGAGTCAGAGCCCCTCTCCCCAGAGCATATTTTTAAGACAACATCCATCCTTGACTTAAAAGACCTTATGAGACAGCTGGAACTACAGTACATTTTCTAAATTGCTCAGAGTTTAATTACACTTGCTCTTCAACATTAGAGTTGTGTCTTTAGCTGGAATTTATCTTGCTCCAGCTGCCAACCACTGGATCACAGAAACCATTTAGGAGGTTAAAGACTGTGGGGTCATTAGAAATCCTTTTATATTAAATACTTAGCAGCCAGAAGATACGAGAAAGCAATTATAAATATATTTTAACCTTCATTAGCTAGAAATTGAATTATGTCCTAAGATGTAAATGATTTTCTCTCTCCTGAGTCTGTCTGTGAAATTTTAAATGGTGGTCTGGCCAAAAAGGAGTACTGGGGAGTCTGTTCTTTGGATGTAAAACCTCTGAGGTTCAGTGTGACCCCTCAGAGCTGACTTCTGCAGGCTGGGGGCTCAGCAGGTTAAAATTTGCTGTCTTGGACTTCCCTGGCAGCACAGAAAAATTCCACTAGTTATTCAAGGTGTGTTTCCTTTGCTGTGTGCCCTCCAAGGACGTGTCCCACTGTCCTCTCCCATCCCACCAGAGCCCTCCTAGACCTTTCCCACCAGAGCAGAGCCCTCCTGGACCTTTCCCATCCCACCAGAGCCCTCCTGGACCTTGTGCTCTCCTTGTCCTCTGTGACTCCCGTGACGTTCGTGCAGCAGTTACAGGGAAAGGGAAAGTTAAGCCTCAAAATTAAATACAAATAAGGAGCTTTTCCCTGTTTGGGGAGGGCTGCAAAGCTGATTTGGCAGCGGGGAGAGGGAGGTGAAGGTGGCCCTGGCTGATCCTGGGGTTGGGATGATGCTGCCCCATACTCGGTGTCTCCTCTGGAGCCTGAACCGCTCGAGCTGGGATTTGTCTTCCCGGGTGTTCCCTGCCCTGCAGGCTGAGTGTGGAGCTCCTTCCCGGAGCTCCTGCTCCCTGTTCCCAGCCAGGAGCTCGCCCCGGACTCTGAGTCAGCCCCACGTGGCCTCCCCAGGCCTCGGGATGGGGCGGGGAGAGCTCAGCACTGCAACTGCTGCCCAAAAAGTTGCCTCGACCGGTTTTGCTGGGAATCAGATATTTCCAGATATGGGGTTAAACACAGCTTGTTCTTTAGAGGAAAATGCACAGGGAGGTGAGTCTGGTAAAAAAAACCCAACAAACAAACAGTTCAACAGGAGCCCTTGGAAAATGATCCTGTGGGGAGTTCTGAAGTCTCTCAGGCAGGGGAGGGAGGTGAGTGCTGAGCCGAGTGTGCTGGAGGCTCTCCCTGCCACTGGAGGGCACAGCCAGCCTTGGAGATCTGCTCCAGAGCCCAAGAAAACCTCTGCCTTTTTGCTTCTCGTTGCTCACCTTTGCTCATTTCTGGTGGAGAAGCTGCTCTGGGTGCTGTGCCGGGAGCAGCAGAGCATGGAAAAGTCAGGGAGGGCAGAGCTGGGGTGTCCCTGCTGGTGTCTCCTCGCTGTCCAACACTCCCTGTGCTTTCAGCTCATCGAGAGGTCCCCCAAGACCCTGCCCAGGTCCATGATCTACGTGAGCATCATCATGTTTGTGATGGGGGCCAGCATCCACCTGGTCGGGGACTCGGTGAACCACCGCCTGATCTTCAGCGGGTACCAGCACCACCTGTCTGTCAGGGAGAACCCCATCATCAAGAACCTCAAGCCAGAGACACTGGTAAAGAGGATTTACAGTTATAGCTCATGGTTACTGCTAAGGAGGATGAGTTTTACAGAAGCACTCAGGAAATATATGAACTGCCTGTTCTTGCTGAACGGCCCCGCTCCCCCTGCCCCTCTAAATCTCCCTCTGTGCTGTGTTGCAGATTGATTCCTTCGAGCTGCTCTACTACTATGATGAATATTTGGGTCATTCCATGTGGTGAGTGATTTGCAGCCGGGCTGGAGGCCCCAGAACATCACCCGAGGAAGGGCAGATCTGGGCAGATCAGAGCTTAATGTGGAAAAAAACCTGAAGCACAGCTGATGAAAGCTGGCTGGGGATAATGTTCTCATGGCCAGGGTGATTACAGGGGAGCTCACCCTTGGAAAATCCCGGTTTATCTCTGTCTCAGGGATATTTCTGGGATGTGGCAGTTGTTGGGCAGCTGCAGGGAACAGCTCATCCTTCCCCAGGATGTCCAGGTGAACAGACCACCCCCCCTTTGTGCTCCTCAGGGGTTTGACCCCCAAACACCCCAACTCAGAGACCCCAGGAAGGCCTGTCTGTCCCTTTGGCTGCTGCCAGGTAATCCTGAGATGGCTCAGAGCAGAGGGAAATCTCTCCCCATCAGGCTTTCCTGGTTTCTTTGCTGTTCCTCGAGTGCTGTGAAGCGAAAAAAACCCATTCTTCTAAATAAAGAAAAAGGGCTCTGTGGGGTTATTGAAATCCTGGTGCACATCCTGCTTTCCTGCAGCTCAGCTTGGACAGGACACGAGGCTCTCAGAGCCTGGGAATGGAACAATTGGAATTGTTCAAGGAGCACTTGAGCCCAGGGTTTGCCCTAATCAGCAGAATTGGGCTTTTCCTGCCTGAGACTGGGAGTTCTCATTACCTGCAGGAGCACTGGGAACAATCAGGACACAAACAGCCTCTCACCAGCTGTGAGGGCTGTGGACACAGCAGGAATCCCAGAGCAAGAGATTCTACTTCTGCTCTTTCACCAAATTAACCCCCAGGCTCAGCCCACGTGCTTGGTTTGGATTTGGGAGGGGTTTAAACACTTCCCAGGGTCATCCCACTGATGGGAGTTGTTTCTCTTTGCAGGTACATCCCTTTTTTCCTGATCCTGTTCATATATTTCACGGGCTGCTTCACCCCTGTGGCAGAGGAGAGCAGGATGCCAGTGGCTGCCCTGCTCCTGGTGGGGCCCAGCAGCCTTTACTACTGGTAAGGGGCTTCTGGCCATGAGGGATGGGCAGGGATGAAGAGGGAATACCCCAGGGAATGCCCCAGGCAGAGTTCTCTGTTCCCCAGGGCAGCACTTGCTGCAGCTTCTGCTCTGCAGGGCTGGAAAATCAAATTAAGTCTCGTTGAAATTCGCAGCCACTTCAGCCTCTGGATGTTGGGACAACTCCAGGGACACCCAGCAGGAATCCTGTCCATGCTTGGGGTGTTTCAGAGTTCCAGAAGGAACTGCTGCCTTCCCCCCCTCCAAGGTTTGCTGGGCCCTAAGACAGTTCCCTGAGGCCTTTGGGGTGGTCACCAGGTTCCTGCAGAGCATCCACGTGGTCCCAGCTCCCTGGTGGCTGGAGATGCTCTCACAGCTCCACCCAGAGCCCAGGGGATGCTCAGCCACAGCCTCCCCTCCAGCCCTGGGGGGGTCCAAAGGGCCTTTTTGAGAGAGGCCTTATTTATTTCCCATTTTCATGAGCCTCCTCTTGCCCAGTGCTGTGCCTGGTGGCAGCCAAACAGCTTCTCACCCACCCCTGTTCCCTCTTGCCCTGCTGAGACTGGTTTTATCCAGCAAATTAATTCTTGACAGGCAAAATCACCCAGATGATTTGGTCAGTCCCCAGGTACCCTCCTGCACTTCCCTTCAGTGGATCAGTGTGGATCTCTGAGGTTTGTGTGGGATTGAAGAGGCAGGAGTGCAATTCCTCCTTCCTGCTGACCCCCAGGCACTGTCCAGGGGAATTTTGGGATAAATGAGCACAACAGCCACGGGTGGGAGCCAGAATCCAGCTTTGGTTCTGCCTTTGAGCATCCCAGACACAGAGAGCCCAGCACCTTTCCCTTCCCATACTGAGGGACAAAGGGAACAGGGATAAAGGGAACATTCCTTTATCCCTTCTCTTCCCAAAGCCCAGGTGTTAAATTACTGATGAGAGTCACGAAAACAAATCAGGCAGCAGGAGCAGCACAGCTTTGGGGGGATGTGGAGCAGGGAAAAGGGGAGATGCTCATCCCTAAGGCTGGAAGTGCTGCCCTCCCTCAGAGCCCTCTCCTGGGATCACAGTAGAGCAGGCCCTTGGAAAATCCCATTTTATCTCTACCTCGGGGATATTTGTGGGATGTGGCAGCTGGATATCCCGTGGAAAGACCACCAGGAGAGATTCATCCCTAAGGCTGGAAGTGCTGCCCTCCCTCAGAGCTCCCTCCTGGCATCACTAACAGGAGTTTTACCTTTGCAGGTACCTGGTGACAGAGGGGCAGATCTTCATCCTCTACATTTTCACTTTCTTTGCCATGATGGCTTTAGTGATGCACCAAAAAAGGAAGGGACTTGTCCTGGACAGCAACGGGCTCTTCCTCTTCTACTCCTTCATCATCACCCTCCTCCTCATCGCTGGCTGGGTGGCCTGGCTGTGGAATGACAAAATTCTCAGGAAGAAGTACCCTGGAGTGATTTATATCCCTGAGCCCTGGGCCTTTTACACCCTGCACATGAACAACCTCCACGCAGCAAAGGAAAGTTTCTAAGTTTTGATATTTTGGAGCGATTTGAAAAGGAAAAAAAAAAATAGAATTCTAGTTTTTCTAACGTAGATTTAATGTATTTCCAATAAATTCCTGACCGACCTTGGCTGCAGGAGGTGCTGTGTGATAACTAGACCTGGCTGGGGAGGGGGTATTCCCCCCCAAAAATAGGGGTACAGTGTAGCTCTTCAGAGGCAGAGTTGGGGTGTCTCCCTGTGTGCCCTCACAATTCCACAGCTCAGTTCCATGCTGGACTTATGGGACAGCACCAAAGCCCTCCTGTATCAGAGCAGGGGCAACATCCCAGCCAGTGGTGAACCCCCCCAGCACCACTGTCACCCCACAGAGCATCCCAGCCTGGGAGGGGAGTGGTTTGCCAGGAATCTCTTGGCACAGGGAGATGAATGTGCTCCTCCCTCGCTGCTCCCAGAGGAGCAAACGTGCCAGGAAGGGGCTGAGCTGCCCTGCCTGGGATCTGCAGGTGGCTCTGCCTCTCCCAGGAGCCCTCCCGGGGTCAAACCCTCACTTTGGAGCTCAGACCTGGGGCAGGAAGGGTCAATTCCCCACAAACGGCCCAAAAACCACTTCAGGCAGGGGTGAAATCCAGTGCCAGCCCCTCTCACGTGAGGTCTGTGCCAACAGCAGCTTCTGCTCCTGCCCAAAAGGGCCAATTCCCCACAGACAACCCAAAAGGAGCATTGGGGGAGGGGGGGGTGATCCCTGGACATGAGCAGCAGCAGCTCCTGCTCCCCCCTTCTCCAGCTGCATCCCTGGCTGGGTTCAGCTCTGTGCCATTTGTGTCAGAGCCCTGTGGGACACAATCCAAGTGGCAGGGGGAGGAAAAAAAACCCCCAAGCTTCCAGCAAAACACAGAGAATAAAAACATTTGGCCAAAGCTGAGTGACTCACGTTCTTCCTGCAGCAGCTTGGAGGGGAGAAGCTTCATCCCACCACATTCCAGGACCTTGGATGTGTCACTGTGACAGAGCAGGGCCCATGTTAGAATGGTCACTAAATGTCTTCTCCTTGGTTCTGGATCTCCACCACAGCCTGGTAGCAGCTACTTCACCCCCTGCTAGTTGTTAAATGCTGACAAATAAAAACTCAGGCAATAAAGAGCTTTTAAACCATCTCAAATATCCCCTCTCGGCCTGTTCACAACCTCCCAGCTCTGCTGAGCTTGAGGGGCACATCGAGACCCCCCGGGAGGGCACAGGGACATCACCAGGGGTGCCCACCTGAATTAACCCCTGTGGTGCCCACACCCCTCCAGCCGTGCCCTGCAGGGCTGCAAATCCCCCTCTCCCTTCCCCGGCAAATTCCAGCAGGGCCGGATTTGTGTCCCAGCGCCAAGGTGTGCAGCTCTTGGAGGGGATCACACCCAACCAGCCCGACCCCAAACCCCCCCAAACCCCCGAGCGGGGTCCTGAGCAGGGTGGGCAGAGCCCTTTTCCCGGCGGAGCGGGAGCGGCGCTGGCAGCGGGATCCAGGCAGGGATCAGGTCTCGTAGCCATAGCAGCGGGTATTTATTACAGCCGGGCCGCCTCCACCCCGGGGCTGAGGGACTTTAGCCCTTCATCGAGGAGAAAAGTGGCAGCAGCCGCCTCCGAGCCCGACGGGCAGCGACCAACACCCGGATCGGCCCCAAAATCATGGTGAGTGCGGCGTCTCAGCTCCTACAAATCGCTCCCCCTCTGCTCCCCCCGGCCAGATTTTAAAGCTGTTTGGGTTTTTTTTCCCCTCTCTTTTCCTTTCCTCTCCCCTTTCCCTCTCCAGGCAAAGTTTCTGTCCCAGGATCAGATCAATGGTACGTACGGTTCTGTTCTCCTCTGGGGTTTTAACGAGCAAGATCAGCTTCACAAATTAAGATGGATAGATATTAAAATGGCATTTTCCCCCAGAGTGTCTCATGCTGGGCTTGTGCTCCCTCCCCTCGGCCTCCTCCCAGCTCTCCTGGGATCTGTTTGCTCTGAGAACAGGGAAATGCCCCCCCTGTTTTTGTTTGGAGCCCCCCCAAAAGCACCCCCAGAGCCCAGGCTGGGTTGCACAGGGACCAGCAGAGAGTCACCAGCCACCTCCCACTCCTATAAACACCTCAGCCCTGGTCAAGCCATCGGGGTCAGGGGATATTCCAGCTGCCCATCTGCAGCTCTGGAGGTTTGAGGTGTGATGGGAGCGAAGGAGGAGGAGGAATTAGGGGGTGCAGGGGGCACAAATTCCCATTGTGAGGCACTGGGGCTTCCCTGGGAAAGGGGAGCCTGGCCTGGGACTGGGTTTGCTCCGGGAACGGCGGAAGAAAAGCTGAAATAAGAGTATTATTGCAAATCTGTTAATCTGCGGGGCCCTGGGCTCAGCAGCTCTGCGGGATTGGAGGGAGGAGGCAGCGGGGCAGGGGAGGCCACGGCACCCAGGGGCACCCAGAGGCACCCTGCACATCCCCCTGCAGGGAGGGCTGGGGGCACAGAGGGGGAGGATGGCACCAAAACAGGCTGATTTTCCCCGGGCAGCACAACTTGCTGTCAGTGTTGAGCCTGATGAGGAGAAGGGGACGGGAGCAGCCTTATCTAGGTCAGCTCCAAGCCTGGCTTTGTCACTGGGAAACTGGGAAGCGCCGAGGTCGAGGGGGAAGGGGAGAGGGCGAGGGGTGCGGGAGGGGGATGCTGCAGACCCGGCACCCTCCATCCCCACCCTACCCCACCGCCCCATCCTCCTCCATCCCCCCATCCTCCTCCACCGCTCCCTCGGCCTTCTCACCCCCCTCTCCCACCCCCGGGGAGGCAGAGGAAAGCACTTTTTTTAAACAATATCCTCCAGGTTTGAAAGCCTGGCCCCACTTTTTGAGCCTCCCCTCGTTAGGCTGAAGGACCCCAATTATCTCCGGCGTTCCCCAGCCGGGGTTTTAATTGCCCTTGGCTCCTTCCCCCGCTGTCCATCACCCTCCCTGCAAGGAGACACCCCGGAGCCGACACGATATCCCTGCTGGAATCCTTCCAGCGCCATCCAGGCGGCGGGAGCGGCCCCGGCGCACGGGCGGCTCAATGTGATCTTACACGGCCTGACGGAGTTTTGGTTTTTAATTAGAGTTCAAGGAATGTTTTTCCCTGTATGACAAGAAACAAAAAGGGAAGATAAAGGCCTCGGACCTGCTGGCAGTGATGAGGTGCCTGGGAGCCAGCCCGACCCCGGGGGAGGTGCAGAGACACCTCCACCTGCACAGGATCGGTGAGCACGGGGCAGGGGCAGCAAAAACACCTGCATTAGGGTTGGAAAAATTCATTTTTTGGGGGGGTCAGGAGGCTGCCTTGAGCCCAGGAGTAACATCCACCCTCTGGTGAACCAGCACAACTGAGAGCAGTCACCAAACCCTGATTATTTTAGCACGTTGTGATGTGCTAAATGAACATAATCCAGCCCACGGATTAAAACAGTGCCAGTAAAACCCCCAAAACTTCCAGAACAGTGGGAGACAAACACATGGATGTGGATTTTGAGGCTGGGGAACTGTCCAGTCCAACCAGCAGAGTAAAAGAGCACAGAAAGATATTTCTCTGCAGATATGGAGGGTTATGGTCTTTAAATCACAAAGACTAAAGAAGAATTATGAGATAAAGTGGGGTGGATTAAGAATTCTGCATGCAAGTTCAGAGCACAAGTTTAGCAAAGCTAGAAATGGGGTTTTAAGACAGGAGAAAGCCCTCAATAGTGGCCCAACCTGATCCAGACCAGGGGCAGGCAAAAGGGAAGAGAAACCCCGGGAAGGGGAACTGGGGGGGGGAAGAGGAGGGGAAAGCTGAATTCTGGATACACACCCCACAGAACTGAGCCACTCCTGGAGAATCTCTTCCTTTGGCAGACAGAAACGCAGAGCTGGATTTCTCCACCTTCCTGAACATCATGTACAGGCAGATGAAGCAGGAGGAGCCCGAGAGGGAAATCCTGACGGCGCTGGCCATGATCGACAGGCAGAGGAGAGGAGTCATCCCCGTGGCAGAGCTGAGGGCAAAGCTCACCAGGCTGGGGGAGAAGCTTTCTGAGGAGGAAGGTATTGAGACCTGGATCAGACCCTCCCTGTCCTCTCATTCCCTGATTTTCCTCTGCAGACAAACCTGGGATGAGGAAGGGCCTGTGCCAGCAGGAGGTGGGAAAGGGTAAAAAGTATAAACCCCCAAACCTGTCCAGTTTGTCAGAAATTTGCCTCCCAAGGGGCACAACAGGAAGGAATTGGAAGGTGAAGATGATCAAGACCTTCTTTGCCCTGGCACAGGTTGCCCAGAGAAGCTGTGGATGGACCCCTGGAAGTGTCCAAGGCCAGGCTGGACGGGTCTTGGAGCAGCCTGGGATACTGGAAGGTGTCCCTGCCCATGGCAGGGGGTGGAATGGGATGGGCTTTAAGGTCCCTTCCCACCCAAACCATTCTGGGATTATTTTTTTTTGCCCTACATGTTTTATGTACTTATTTAAACTCTTTAAACACATTCCCACACTCTTAACACAGGCAAGGAGGGAGTTTTCTCTCCTGTACAGACCCCTTTAGGCTCCCTGAGGGGGTAAGAACTGTCCTGTCTGATGTTAAATAGAATTTAGATTTAACCAGAGCTGCTCAGTGCAGTCACCATCCCCAGCTTCACACCAACAAGGAATTTCTTCCAAGGGTTTTCTTCAATTTAACTGGACTAATAATTCCCAAAGCTATTTCCATGTGCAAACACTTCCAGAGCATTTTGAGGGCTGAACACACAGCCAGGACAGGGAGACATTAACCCTGATTAAGGGCATCCTGGAAGAACCTCTTTCTGTGAAGATTTGGGGGGTGCAGGGGGATTTCCCATTCCTTTGGGATCTCACTTGTGCAGATCCTCATGCAGGAAGCGATGCTGCTTCTCCACAAGAAACTCCCCCCCTTGGCTTTTCCCCCTGAGCTCTGAGCTGCTGGAACCATTTGATACCAGGACAGACTCCATTTCATCAGCATCTGCCATTGCCCAGGAACTCCTGGCACAGCCCTTCCCTCTCCAGTGGCTCCAGAAAAGCCTTCTCTCATTTGAATTAATGCCCTTGTACCAAACTCAGACATTTCTTCTTGTGTTGTTTTCAAACACTCTGGGAAGA